AACGCTATTTTTTCTTTGCCGTAGGCGAATCTAGTTGGCGGAAGTTTTAATCACCTCAATCATTAGAGATGGCGGATATTCTAAGTCGGTTTGATAATGCTATGGAGCGAGTTGTGGATTCGCGCGAATAGAAATCTACCGGGAAGCTGGGTGTTTCGCTGAGACAGGAACAAAGGCTATGTGCGTGGGAACTAAAGTGTGATCGGAGTCATGGTACATGATACATATTGGACTCTTGGAGATTGGGAGGGGGGTATTTGGTCCAGAGCGCATTCCTGTTGGTTGATTACCAGATGATGTAATGTGAGCGTATGTGATAGAAGTCTGCATTGTCGCCAGATAGTTGGCGATTATCACACAAAGGAAGAAACCACTAGCAGCAACATGAGCAGTGACTAGTTGTTTGAGTATTGTCCGGTCTCCGATAAGAGACCCATGCACGCATTCGCGTCTCTAGGAACAAGTGCAGTGAGGTTTGTTGATAGAACTAGCCATTGAAGCTTTCTGGACTGCAACTAGTGGGGGAACCAATATACCGGAACGTCGAACCCACGTTTCGATGTCACCGAGCAGTCAACGGCTACTTTCGAGTAGGAGTGCCACGAGTTCACCCACACCTAGGCAAGTTCGAGTAGCTCACTGACTCAGAATCATCGGAGACGCGAATTGCAAGACAACTCATTGGAACACTAGTCCGTTGTCTTGTACGCATGTTTCGGAGAAACAGTATATATCGGCTTCGAAGGAGTGCAAAGTCACAGCAAGTGACATATGTTGCCCAATGTGACGCGAAGCGCGGATATTGAAATAACCAAGACGGGATGGATCTTAGGTTCGAAAGACAACGACTGAGTCAGTAGTGAACTCTTAGTAGTAAACACAGGAAAACTGGTGAGAGGTAGTGGAAAAGAAAAAGTAATAAAGATTGCCGGTGACTGTCTTGTGGATAGATGAAAATTTTCGACTGTCTACTCCGAGTTTATTAGAGGTGCTCCGCCTCCGGCCTTCGACTCAACAGTCTGGTCCGCAAGGAAGTGAGGTACATGGAGATTTGCTTGAGGGACTTCACCTGGGCCATGAAGCGGTGGAGAGAAGGTCCAATTAGACAGCTCGACTGCAGTTCCATATAAATTTGCTTAAGGCCGGTCGCAACGGACCTTTAAAGATCTAGAAGTATTCGCGTTTTTGACCGCACTAGTGACCATGGCCAAACGTAGGTGGAGTTGGCAGGTTTGTACTTTATTGATTAGGATTTGCTGGGCCTGAAGCAGGCGGTAGTAAACCACTGAGCGGGGGTGATGCTCACATGATCAGAGACAAAGCTTGACGTTCGTTCTCTTTGATAATTTGGGCGAGCCTATAACCTGTATACTGCTGCTTCCCATCGCTATTTCAAAGGAAGAGATCTATCATGTTCCCCCAAACTCTGAAGAAGAGGGAGCTGAGCTTGAGTTGGTCTGACCCCCAACCATTCACCCATCTGGTATTAGCGTCTCCGAAAATACAAGGGAAGTGACCCCCAGATCAGGGTAAACAAACCATTGCAACAAGATTTCGTCTCATCGCGATGGTTCCTGCGTACAACTTATGAGTCAATAGTCTGACCAACGGGGCAAAGCAGTAATTAGCAACTTGCTCTGAGGCTACATATTTAGGGTCTTTTGCTTACTAATCTGACAAACAAGAAAGTAGGGGATCAAATGACAGTTAGACAACAGAGTCACAGTGCTATCGGCTTTAGGATGTTCACACGAAGTATTAGCAAACCTAAGATAATTGGTACTTTTAACGTTAACATGTGATGCGATGAATTACGTTATTCTAACGAGTTCATATAGTAATGACCAGGAGGTACCTAGGCTGAAGGTTATGAAAAATCAGTAGACAGTTGTGCTTTCACTTAGCTGCAGACAAACCACAGCAGTTTCGCTTTAAACTAATCCAGCTGAGCTCATAACTTGAAGGCTTTTGCTTCACGTGGTTTGTCTTCGATGGAAGATGGTCATCGACCTCGCACCTACTAGGTGGATGTTAAGATAGGTGTGTCTAACTCTTAGCCGTTGAGATGTCTGGAACGGACGAATTGAAGAGAGGTAGAAAGTGTAATTTAGCGCATTTCAATGGAGCACAGAGAAATGCAAAGCATCTCAACATTGTAAAACAGTTCCGTTCTGATGGGTGGCTCCGAACAGCAGTACTGTGCAGAGCAAGTCATACCTGGTGGGAGCAGTGTGTTTAGTAACACCCTAGCGTTAGTCTACTCAGCTACACCCGTCCTAGCTTGCTGGACCGCGCTCTTCCGAGAACGGGTAGTGATGTGAAAAAGCTATGGGGAATGAACGGAATCCTTGGTTTGGTTGGTGAATGGCATCGTCCCGGATGGTGCACACTGGATAAAAACAAACGAGTGGAAAAAAGCCAGGTATAGAGCCAGTAAGTAGCACCGACGCTTCGCTGCTACGCAGCCACCAGCAGTCCCGTGTGAACTAAAGATAATGAGGATCATCTAGCGCACCTCGTGTAGATCAACATCATTCATTCAGCAAGGTGTCAAAAACCATAAGCTTTGAGTAGAAGGGGCAAATCGAATCAGCATCGCTAAACATTGTCCCAGATATTAGCTGCCAAAACCACAACACCCCCATAAAGCAGTGTGTAAAGCGAGTGACTTTGCCAGACAGCAAAGAACTAGGTACATTTTGTACGAGTGTTCCAAAGTGCAATCAAAGGTGAAAAACGGAAAATCGGGTACGTCAATATAGCGAAAGATCGTAAGTAGTATGGAATGCCAACAAAACATCTTAAAATGCAGTCCGAGATATAAGCGAAAAAATAGCAAATAAAAATCAGTACAAGCCGAAGTTGGGTCTACAAAGCAACAAACACTGACCAAAACAGCAACTGCTGAAGAACACAGAACTTAGGATGATATACAAGGCTGGACAACAGGGAAAGGATATGGGGTAACATTTAGGCAACCATTTCATTCGGAGGTGCTCATATAAAGAGGACCAAGAGGTCCAAGTTAAGGGAATGAATGGGAAAGCACAAAGCAGTCAGGAGTCACTAGTCGACTTGCTGCGATGGTTGCATAACGAAGCGCGGGAATGCAGAATGAGGTAGTAGCTAAAGATGTCATGGGTGGTTGTGAAAATCAAGGTGCTTAGACAAAAGAAATTTCCACCACATCCTGAACGAGCGCGATGCTAAGCTACGAGTTGTTACCCTACAAGCAAAAGGCTCAAAACATTTGGTAGGCAAAAGTGGATGTGTAAAGCTTTTTGCACTAGCTGTAGTAATCCTGTCTATCGCAGGCTCAAAAGCAGTGAACAAGCCCAAATAGAACGCCACTTAGAGTTAGGACTCATTTCGACCGTGACGTCATGTAACCTATGCATTTTGCGCAATCTCAACTACAAAATTGTTATATACGGAGCGAAATGAAAAAATGACAGCGTAGACTCCGGATAAGCAGGCAAGGACAGGTGAAACGTACAGTCGGAGCAACATTGTGCAAACTAACGCAGCAATGACCGTGAGAATTTACAAATTTGTACGTCAGGCCGGCTCGTAGCCTAAGGGGTCACAAGCCTGCTTTATAATCCGAGGGCGTGGGTTCGAGCATGTGTAGGGGACTGAGGGATTCTCGCATTATCCTTGGTCCATGCGCGACCGTTAATGGTTGCACGGCAGCGAAGCGTCTGTACTGCGTACTGCTGAGACTTAGCTACATGAGGTCAAGCGCGTCCATATGTTAAATCCTTTAAGAGCAACGAGTAGTCATTAATAACACGAGTAACCGACCACATAAGTAAGCTGAGTTCGATACCTGTGCATGTACAGAGAATTCAAAAAGCCGTCGCCATCACTAACAAGGTGAGACCAGAAAGGCAGCATTTGCAAATATTGTAAACTCATGCATTGACCAATCAGTACGTGAAACAGTAAAATGCTGATCAGAGAAAAAGGAATAGAGCTGTTGGTGTAGCCAGAGATAAGAAGTTTTATCCCTAGCAGATATATATATACAGATATATATAGATATATACATCTGTATATATATATATATATATATATATATATATATATATATATATATATATATATATATATATATATATATATATATATATATATATATATATATATATATATATATATATATATATATATATATATATACGTCCGCCGTGTGGGCTGCACCAACTAACTCAAGAAAACTTGTCCAGCGCTCGGAAAGCGAGAATGATGAATCGGGTGAACTTTTCGTAGGTGGCAGCAAGTCACCATAACACGCTCAGCAGCTCACGGAAATTATCTATCGGTTTTTCACATCGCCGTACGGATACTGACGGTACAAGTGGTGCCAGGAAACCTGTAGTAGCAAGGTAACCTCATGCTTCGAGTCTTCACATACCTAAGCATTTCTTCGACATTGGATAACAAAGTCAGAAACTCGATAGTCGATAAGAAATCACTGCGTCCCAGCTTGTTAAATCAGTGCATGCGAACTGTCAAGTGATGGATGTCACTGCACTCCAATGTCCGCAGACTCTCAGCTTGGTGTGTAGCCATATACTTGGTTACCTGTTTGCACTCGCTGAATTCTCCGCGAAGTACTCTTTCGGACGCTTGCCGTGTTCTTGCTCCTTCTAAGCTCGGCTGCTGTGCTGTAGTGAATCGGTCGCACATCAAACTGAGAGCCAATATTCTCTTACTTTTTCAGCTCATGGGATTACAGGTTGATACATTGAAAACAGCGGTACTCCGAGTTCATCCATAATAATACGTGTCGAGATACACTAACAAGTGTTAGCATCTCCATACACTATCGAGTATGGAAAGAATGAAGCAAACTACCCAGTTACCCGTACGTCACACGACATTATAACACCCATGGAATGAATTGAGTGCTACGATCTGTAAGCTTATTGAGATTAATAATACTCAAGTGCATGGTGGGTAGCATGCGAAACAACATAGTGTGCCACAAAACGTACTTTTTTATCTTGTCTTGCATATGGGAAGCACGGTATGACAGCAGTGACACGGCAGCTGGAGGCGATTTTACACGCATTGATCATGATAAGCAATTCCATTAGGTTATCGTTCACTTCACCTCCACCAGTTTGGACAATGAAGACGTCTTCGCCCCGAACCGATTCTCCGACTTCTACACTGTGTGAGAAAAAGCAAAATCAGATGCTGCGCGATTCCCCACATAGAATGCGGACAATGAAAGCAGAAGGATATTTACTTACCATGTTTCCTGATTGCTGAATTTTCGTGAAGTCACCTTGCCAAGACGAACACCTATCCTGTCCGCAATTTTCTGCCCTAAATCTATGTTTGAACTACCCGAAAATATTTTTATATTCGGCATCTCGTCGCAAAAAGATTGAAAAACAAAGTCGTAGTATGCGCACAGTCAGGGATTCTGAGAGCTTCCGTGTCCAACGCGTAGGTGGGTCGCAATAAACCAAAAGGCTGAAATACAAAACGGATACTTAAGGTCAGGTCAGATCAAGACCCAAGGACGATGCAGGTTTTCGCCCAACGAGCGTCCTGCTTCGTCTATCGGTATGGGAACTAGTGCCCCAGCAGTTCGACTTCATTAACTCACCTTGCTTCAGCAAAGATAAGGAAGCAATAACGAGAGAAATTTTTGCGTGTTCACGGATCAACATCGGATTTTACTACATAAGATCTCACTGTTACAAATTCCGAACAAAGCAACAGTAGTTCTGGAAAATGCTCTGGACAGCATCCATTCAGGCCTCTTTGTCTTCGCACGATAGCCAGCTGTTTGTGACGGCATGTTGTTTACACAAGGTGTAGGCGCCTTGACCCTGAATGTTTGTTTAGGGCATTAAGGTTCCCAGATAAGTTCCCCTTCTGTCCCTCTTATTATTCTTCATTCCATAGGTCATCATGGTTGTATTTCAGTGAAGCATCAGTTAAGCTGAATGATGTACTGCTGTTGTTGTTGATTCAAATTCCCTCTGAAGGCTATTACCTTCTCGCAGTCCAGTAACTCAGAAACTTTATTCCAGCTACTTACGACACGGTTTGGAAACATTTCGCCCAGACATCCAGTCTAGCCCACTGTAGTTTGAGCTTCAAACGATGGCGGCGCAGATGATCCCAAGCAGCCAGCCCAAACAGATCAGTAAGCCTGATGCCACTGAGGTCCTTCGCTAGCTTGAACGTGTTTAACGGATCTCCACACAACCTAGTGCTATAAGGAAAACAATCTTAAGCTACTTAGGTCTTCATACCACTTCACACGTCGACTTTCAGCTATCCTGGTTGCCAGTTTTTGAATCTTTTCCATGCAATAAGTTCACACACAAGAAGCAAGCAAGTTCCGCGTTTTTGGTTTGATTTTTTCGGGCAGTGAGGGGGTCTTCTTCGAGGTTTTGTTCTCAGCTGTGGTTGTCCTCGCTTTTGCTGTGCTGGTGCTCGCGACTGCGGAATAGGACTTGGGCTTATGCACCAGCCTACTCCTGTTCCCACTGAGCAACGGTTTTAAGTCCAACGTAGTGGGCGCCTGGCTTCCTTTCTCGTTCGGTTTAGGATAACCAGACGAGGGCAGACACACTGATGAGATAGGTGTCTCGCTGTCGGAGTTAGACGGCTTGCGCAGAAGCAGTATGTAAGTTGAAAGAGTTTCTCAGATTCAGATTCAGATGGGCTGGAACGATAGGAAAATCCCTTGAGTGTTCCTTCTTGAGCAAATCGTTGGGCCAGGAAATGATAAGGTGCTAGGTCTTGATAGATCTAAAACGAAATACCCGAAACACACCTTGCTCAACTGATTACTGCCCACGTTCCCTGGACTAACAGTCCCCGCTGTGTAGGTTACGTGAATTAAGAAAGAAGCATAAAGTAAATGGAAGATAAAGGGGAATGAAAGTCATTTAAATGAAGAATAAGACCAAAGAGTGAAGAGAATGACAGAATATGAACTAAAAGTTTGAAGATGGATATGGTCAGAATAAGGGAAAGGTTCTGTGTTGCCACCCAAGAGCGTCTAAATGACGCTCGAAATCCTTAACCGTATGTTCGCTGACTACACTTTCTGGAAGCGAGTTCCAAGACTCGATAACTCTACGCGATAACCGAGTTTCCGCCCTGATCCAGTCAGAACGCGAATTGTGTAGCTTCATGGGATGACCGCGAAGACAAGGCAACCTAGCCGAGCTAAATAGCCAGCACAGGTACGATCCAACCTTAACTGTTAAAATGCGGTAAGTAACGATTAGGTCTCCTCGAACCCGTCGGTAGTGCATTGAATACATACCCAAGCTAAGTAGACGCTCGGGGTACGATTGCCCCCGTAACCCCTCGACTAATTTGTTACCTACTCTCAAAAACCTCTCGAGCTCCATTTTGTCCCGAACAAGGCAGTGCGGGCAAGTCTGGACGCAGTATTCCAGATGGGGCAGAACGAAATCTGAGAACAGCTTCACAAATATGTCGGCAGTTAAGACCCCGAAAGAACGGTGTATTAGCCACAACATTCTGAAATCCCTACTAGCGGTCTTCTTCCAGTTGTCACCAGAATGCAAAGACAAGGAATGGAGGACGCCTAGGTCTACCTAGTTGGAGACAAGAGGGAGTTCGACCCCACCGACTACGTAGCTCGAAGGCGGGAAAGTTGCTCCTATATTAAGGACGGAACACTTAGCCTGATTAATGGGCAGTAGCGACAAAGTAGACCAGTCCCATAGTCTGTCCAGTGCAGGTTGTATGGCCTCAGAACCCCCAGGAACATTTACAACATTCCATAGCTTAAGGTGGTCAGCAAACAATAGGGATGATACCCCAAGCTCTCCAGGGAGATCGTTTACGTAGATGGAGAACAGCATCGGTCCAAGGACCGAGCCCTGTGGGACACCGCTAAGGACCGCTTGTCTAAAAGATAAGCTGCGATCCACACGTACACACTGCTCTCTTCCCTGCAAGAACGCAGATACCCAGTGAAGGGCGCGGCCAGATACGCCGTAGGAACTCAGCTTTTGTGATAGCCTCAAGTGGGGTACCTCATCAAATGCTTTCGAGACGTCTACGAAAAGCACATCCACTACGTGGCCATTGTTCATTGCCTCGGCCCAAGCTTCACGAGTAACCAACAAATTCGTCAGACACGAAAACCCCTTCCGGAATCCATGTTGTGCACTAATGAGTAGATTAAATCTATTCAGGTGACCTTCCAACGAATCTCTCACCAGCTTTGCGAGCAGTTTGACCACGACGCTAGTTAGACTGACTGGCCTATAATTGCCTCACACACTCCTGTCGCCACTTTTGAAGATAGCACAGATGACAGCCTCCTTCCATTCAAAAGGTAATGTACAGCTGTCGACTTCTGAAACATCATCGTCAGCGGTCCACTTAGTTCCACCGCCAACTCGTGCAGAAGCTCCGGGTGAATTGAATCAGGTCCAGCTGCTTTGGAAGGGTACAGTTCTTGCAGCAGTTTAAGGATTTGCTTCGCCACCACAGTAAACTCAGCTAAATAAGAACCCTCAGGTACTCTGGAGACAAGTTCAACGCTAGTCAACGCGGCCTCAAGTACAAAAGCCCCTGCATACTGCTCGCCAAGTACACGAGCCTTATCTGAGTCCGCATACGCACGAGTTCCATCAGGCCGCCTCAAAGTTGAGATTACCGAATTTGAACCACAAAGTCTCTTAACATAAGCGAAGAACCTTTCGAACTTTCCGAAGCTCCATCAGCCAAATCCTTTTCATACAACAGCCGAGCTTTCCTTAAGTGTTGTTTAGACCTATTTCTAGCCTCGCGGTATCTATCATAGGTGCTAGTTGATGGAGACGCACGGTAGGTCCTTCAGTACCTAGAACGCTTCTGGAGCAGGTACTTGCCAGTGGTATCTATACACGGCGGTCACGTTCGTGTCTCCTTTCTCCTCGCAAGCGGGATGTAGGGAGCAGACACTTCCGTGAGATAAAATTTAAATTTATCCCAGGCCGCCTGAACCGTATCAAACACCGAGATTTCGCAACGCAACCCAGAAACCTTGATACGCATTGCCTGATAGTTAGCACGCCATTTGTTTGGAAATGGCTTAGCAATGCTTTAGTGACGCCTGGTCAGAGTAAACCTGAACGACAAACAAACATGATCACCAGCACCTAAGGGAGAGCTGTAAGAGATGTCACCTACAAAGTCTAGTGACTTGGCAAACACTAGATCCAAAACAGACGGGAGTTGGGCATCCATGTACCTAGTGGAGAGATCCACGAACTGATGCAACGGTACTTGTAGCGTAAACTCAATTAGATTTGCACCGAAAGTACCTTCCGCCGAGTTACAAGAAAGGACTGATCAACAAAATTCTGGTAGATTGAAATCCCCAGTATCAAACACCTATTTGCGGATTGGGAGCGAATAAAGTCAAGCATCTCTTTGGACGCACTCCCAGGGCTTCTATATACAAGTACAACTGTAAGTTGAGCTGAGGAAGTGTTAATCACTACCGACAGAGCTTCGACAATTTTATCTGCCGACTAAACATGTAGGTACGTAAAACGTTAAGTTCACATCTAACGTAAAGCGCAAAGTCCCCGCCTTGTCGGCCAACGAATCGATCACATCTAAATAGTGCGTAGCCAGACAGATGTACTTCACCGTCCGTGATGTCCCGAGACAGCCATGTTTCAGTGAATGTGAGTATATCGGGATGAGACCCATCTACAAGCAGACCTATCTCGCACATCTTATTTCTTAGGCTTCGCACATTGCTTAGCACTATCTGAAGGTACTCGTAATGTCCAGCCCTGGGTCGTGCGCTACCAAAACTGGTACTGGTAGGGCGGAAACAGACCGTCGGCTGACCACCCGAAAACCCAACAACCGGAGACATTGTTCACCGGCTGCTCGCCTGGTTTTGAGGTCTTTAATGGCCTCTTTTAGCTTCAGCCTATCCGCTAATGGGAAGACTGGCTGAAAGCTAACATTAGTACCCTTCATTCTGAAGGCAAACCGCAACAGCGCGTTGCGTTCCTCCGGGGTGGATAAGACTACCCGAAGTAAGCGCGGTCGAGGGTTTGGGACGTTAACTGGGATGTTACCCAATCTAGTCAGTTTCCTGACAGTAACACCGGGAAACCCAGGCGGAAGAAGCTTCGTTACGCACATCTTAAACAACTGTAGGTCGTCCAATGTACGTTCAGCAGGAAGTGCAGCAGTGGATTCCACTGCGTTACGGAATAGCACGCTGCTATCCATGAAAGAATCACCTCGACGGGGTGTACTTATCCCACGGGTTTTGGAATTTACATGAACAGCAACCGGCTTAGCTGCAGGCAATGAGACTGGGCGCAAGTTATCAGACGACGTTGAAGCAACTGTAGTGTA